AAAAAAAAAAAAAAAAAACAATTCATAGCTTATTTGATTTAATTTATGATTTCAGAGTCATAAATAATACTCCCTCCTATTTTTTTTTTTTAAATGTCATTTTACCTTTATCAACTATTAAATAAATAAATGACGTTTTAGATATGTTGTACATATTTTTTTTCATTATTACCCTCATATATCTAATAAATATATTACGTCTTTTCATATTCACTCTCATTTTTTTTTTCAAAACATTCATCTCTGTTTTTATTAAGATATTATTGACAAAAAAAATATTTTTAATTAATGTGCAACTTCTCAAGACGAATGTAGTATTTTATTTAAAACCAAATATAAACTTCTAAGAACTATTATTCTAAACCACGATGTCTCAGGTCGAAAATGGAAAGACGACAACGGGGGAGAAGGCGGGTCAATGAACCGGATAGGCGTGAATTCGCCGGAGTGCTCCAAAGACAGCATCCTCGTATTCCAGGGCCCTACCACCCGTCTCCCAAACGGGATCCCGACCTACACCGTATCTATAGAGAACGTGTGCCTCTCGGGGCCCTGCACATTTTCCGACATCCACATGAGCTGCGGCTGGTTCAGCTCAGCCCGGCTGGTGGACCCAAAGGTCTTCCGGCGGCTAGCCTACGACGACTGCCTTGTCAACGACGGGGGCCCGTTCAACCCAGGGGACACCCTCTCTTTCCAGTACGCCAACACCTTTGCCTACCCGCTCTCTGTAACCTCTCTATCCTGCTAATTAATTTATGTTAGCTAGCTATCCGTGTGCTTCTTTTGTAATTTTATGTATAATGTTGTATCAAATACCTAATAATTAACTTGTTGTAGTCTCTAAAGAGTAAAGACTACTGAGGTTTATGCTGTTGTGCCCAAAGTGTGTGTTTTATTACTGTATGTAGATTGGGGGTACTCTGTAGTCTCTATAGTGTTTGTGTTTATAAAAAAGTAACTAGTACAAACCTCGTTAAACCGAGGTCACACGCAACCTTATGGAACCCCACAAAACGGCATTTTATTCTTCTATTATGCGCACTCGACTTCGAGCTTCTCAAAATAAATGCTCGCAACTTCAAAATGTGAAATAAATTTTATGAACGGCTTCTACTGTTCTCGTGCTTTCAAGAAAGCAGTCCCGCTAATTTTTAGTACGCCTAACAAGGGCCGACGGTTACCCGAAGTCTAGACGTGAAAATGACAATAAAATCACCGCCACTGCCATTTTTCTCTCAACTTCGAGCTACCCA